TGAATACTTCATCCATAAACCCTCTTTTTGTTCTTAGTCTTAAACTCTTCCTGGATTAGCTTCTTTCTGATTTTAGCTTATATCTCAAAGCACATAACTTCAATTGCTTCTGTATGTACTTTCTGGTCACCTAACCAAAAATTCTTTTACTTTATTCTACAATCTCTTAATCTTGGATCTAGCCATCCAATTACTTCTACATCAAGAAAGCTGCTGAAAGAATAACCAGCAAACACAGCAAACAAAAATTCATGATAAAGGCTGGATGCCACATTTTTCTTCTTTCACTTAACTGAAGCTTTCAAGTCTTTATTATCACTTTCAGGCTATCTTAAAATCCTAAAATCATTTCACTCTGTAGATGATCTTGTATTTCACAGCAAAAAAATGGACTCTCATAAGAAAATCTACTTTTGACTTTTTAAATTGAATAAATTTGACATATAATAATATGTAAGTTTAAGGTGCATAGTGAGTTACTTTGATACATTTATTTTGTAATATGATTGCTGTAGTCATACTTAACACATTAAATAATTATACTATAATATTACTGTTTATATTCATTATAACATGCATTAGATCTCCATGGCTTATTTACTACTTGTTATAAATCTAAACACCACCAATCTTCTCTGCCTCTCTCCATCTCCCAAGTAAACACCGTTTTACTGTTTTTATAGGATTGACTTTTTTGGATTCCAGATATAAGTAATACATGATAATCCCTTTAAACTTTCTGCCATCTCCACTTCTTACATACAAAGTTATTTTCATTTGCAGCTATTTTTCTCTCTTGTGCCCTCAGTTCTCAGAGGAATGGGTGTTTCTTCATGCTCAGAGTAAGCTCCTTAACCTCTTTCTGAATCTCTAGCAATCGCCTGGCTGGCCATGTTTCCATCCTCTTCCTCTTTTCTTCAAATATCCCTTCACTCTACACGCTGTAATTTGGAAATGTACACACTCAGGGCTATAATGAAATTGTTGTTCTATAATCTATATCCATAATCTCCAATTCAGGACATTTTCACCTGTATGTCCCAGAGGTAACCAAACAATTGCCATTCATTTTTCTTTAGTAAACTGAAACGTAATACTCAGTTCAGTTCAGTCACTCAGTTGTGTCTGACTCTCTGCGACCCCATGGACTGCAGCACGCCAGGCTTCCCTGTCCATCACCAACTCCTGGAGCTTACTCAAACTCATGTCCATTGAGTCATTGATGCCATCCAAGCATCTCATCCTCTGTCATCCCCTTCTCCTCCTGCCTTCAATCTTTCCCAGCATCAGGCTCTTTTCCAATGAGTCAGTTCTTTGCATCAGGTGGCCAAAGTATTGGAGTTTCAGCTTCAGCATCAGTCCTTCCAATGCATATTCCGGACTGATTTCCTCTAGGATGGACTGGTTTGATCTCCTTGCTGTCCAAGGGACTCTTAAGAGTCTTCTCCAACACCACAGTTTAAAAGCATCAATTCTTTGGCGCTCAGCTTTCTTTATAGTCCAAATCTCACATCCATACATCAGTTCAGTTCAGTTCAGTTGCTCAGTCGTGTCATGACTAGTGGAAAAACCGTAGCTTTGACTAGATGGACCTTTGTTGGCAAAGGAATGTCTCTGCTTTTTAATATGTTGTCTAGGTTGGTCATAACTTTTCTTTCAAGGAGCAAGCGTCTTTTAATTTCATGGCTGCAGTCACCATCTGCAGTGATTCTGGACCCCCCAAATAAAGTCTATCGCTGTTTCCATTGTTTCCCCATCTATTTGCCATGAACTGATGGGACCAGTTGCCATGATCTTAAGTTTTCTGAATATTCTAAGAAATCCAGAGTTTTAAGTCAACTTTTTCACTCTCCTCTTTCACTTTCATCAAGAGGCTCTTTAGTTCTTTGCTTACTGCCATAAGGGTGGTGTCATCTGCATATCTGAGGCTATTGATATTTCTCCTGGCAATCTTGATTTCAGCTTGTGCTTCTTCCAGTGCAGCATTTCTCATGATGTATGTAATATATGTATATTAATAGGTAGGCTTCCCCAATGGCTCAGGGGTAAAGAATCTGCCTGCAATGCAGGAGACACAGGAGATGAAGGTTCAATCCCTGGGTTGGGAAAATCCCTTGGAGAAGGAAATGGCAACCTGATCCAGTATTCTTGCCTGGAAAACTCCATGGACAGAGGAGCCTGGCAGGCTATAGTTTAAAGGGTCATCGGACATGACTAAGCACACAGGCATGGCATATTAACAGGTATATAATTATATATTTATATATAATAAAGTGCAAATTGATGGTTGCCACTTATTTTTATACTCCTGATCTTAGACCACTGCTTGGCACCAATATGCTTGTTGAGCCAATTCCACACTACTCTCTATCCTATCTATCCTCTATCCCACTGTCAGGAAGACTTTTCTAAAGCACATATTAAGTCCTTCAATATATTTTGAATGAGTAACAATAGAGTACAAAACTACTTGGTTATAATCATCATTATAAGGCCCTAATCTATCTTCACAGCTTCTTTTCCTGTACTGCCCTCACTTCTGAGTTTTTACTATATATATTTCTCTCCCTGCTTTCAGGATCCATCTTCCCTAATCTACTCAGTTCCTCCTAATCTTGACTCAAGGGTTGGGCTTAGTGGTAGGCTTATGACCTGATCCTCCCAGAGTGAGTTAAGTGCCTCTTCACTGTGCTCATATGTTATCCTGTACAGATCTCTACTATAGCACTTAGCATGCTATAGTAATAACTATTGATCTTTTTTACTTATTGAAAGTCCTTAAGGACATAAACCATATTTTATTTCCGTATTCTCAGAACCTTATTAAGAGCTCAGTACATAGCAGACACTCAATGTTTCTTAAATTAGTATGTCTAGAGTTTAACATTTTTTCTTCTATTTTTGAGAATCATAAACAATATTTCCCTTTCCCCTCTTTAGGATAAGTGCCATAGTGAATAAAGGTTTCTTCCATGGCAGAGATTAAATTATAAGAGTTTTCAGTTGCTTACTACTGGCCAGGACAGAAAGATCAGGAGATAGATAAATACCTGTCTCTGTCTTATCGCAAGAATATCTCAATATTCCTATTCCCTAATTCTGTATTTCCCAGTGTTCCTAGAACAGGCACAGCATTGTTTAAGTTTCTTAATGAACCTAATGAGAAAAGAAGAGTAAAAGCTGCGAATTTTTGTTACTCTCTTTAAAAACTGATTATGCCTTACACATGAATTGGAAAGGAAAACAAATCCAAATTCTAAACTTCACTTCAATAATCAAGAAAGTGTCTGTCATTATCCTATCTCTGTTTCTCTTATGCACCCCTACTGAAGATCTCTAGACCATTAAGTTTACCTAAATAACTGGGAGTATTCTTTAGTAAATCAACATGAGAATCACACACACAAAAATATAATTTTTGAGAAATGGAGTGCAGCAGGTATAACACCAGTTTTACAGTAGATGTATCAAATAGAAAGGAGAAAGGGAATTGTGTATTCCTATACTTATGGAGGAAACTAAGAACTGCATGACTAGCATATTTCTTAAGACTTCACAACACCATAGACTAGTAAAAAAAATTTTTTTTTTAATTGAGGGAACCAACATAAGATCCTCTACTTTCAACAGCCTGACAGGAATAATTTAACATAGCAGGCCTTAAGTTATTTATCTTCAGAAAGGCCTATTTGCAAGGCTGGCCCCTTGACTGGCAGCTGGGAATGTAATCTTCAAAAACATTTCTTAAGTGATAAGATTCTAAGTGCTGTGCCAACCTACTTAGACTACCATGAGATTTATGGTGAATAACTACTTTCCCTCTGACACAGGGTGCCTATGTAACCAACCCTTAAAAATAGCCCAAGCTCATGAGTCTCAAATGGAGTTCCCGATGCCAAAGCACTGCATATAGGCTGGGTGAACTTCTGAAAGCTGGAGAGAGGGTGCACTCTGTATGACTCCTCACAGAAGGGAAAGAGTATAGGAAACCTGCACATGGATTCCTCTAGACTCCACCTGCTGTCTTTTTCCATTAATGATCTGGCTGTGTATTTTTACTCGTCTCTGTAATAAATCCTAGCTCTGAATATGACAGTTTTACTAAGTCCTGGGAATCCTTTTAGAGAATCGCAGAATGTCTGGGTGTACTGGGGACTCCCAAAACACTAAGTAATGATACTAACTAAGCAACAAAAAACACAAAAACCAAAAACTCTATGATTATCATTTGACAAATGGGTATGTTAACAAAATTTTGCTCTTTATTCTGACAGTACAGAAACATAGAAACAGTATCAGAATAAAGGACAGAATTTTAAATGGAATAAATTTAGCATTATAAGAAGTTCATTACTTTATTCTTATTTTTCTCATTTTACTGTAGGTTGGTGAAAACCTTATCAAGGACCATTAACAGACATGCCTAGGAACTACTTAACCAGTAATTTCTGCCTGGATATACCTTTCTTCCAATTTACTTTCTTTAGAAACTGAAAACACTAAGCGGAAATTTGATGTGAACAGGAGTATTTTAAAAAGCTGAAACTTCTGGTAAGACATTAAAGATTTCACTAAAATAATAATTTATCTTTAACTTATAGTTACAGGATAAATTAATAACAAATTTAGTTCCATGATATTTTAAGATTTGTTTCGTCTTCCAGTCAGCCAAGTAACAATATGAAACAGACAAAAAACTAGCTGAGATACTGATACTCTGACTTTTACTTTGTCATTTTACTTAAACATTATTCATGGAAGATAACGTACTTATTTTTCCTCAATACAATCATCTTAAAATGAATTCTTTCCATAGGTCACAATATTCTTTAAAAAGTTAGCAAATAAAAACCTCAAATTTCATCTATCAATATATCCCTGTGTTTTAGTTCCTTAAAAAGTTCTTTCTTTAGTTCTAACAACATAATATTTTCCATTGCAAAAGATTCAAATTCCATTCACCAGGATAAATAACAACTTTCAAAACTAACACCACACACCTTTTGCTGTAGTTCTTTTACTGCAGAATCTCTATCCATGCATGCCTGTCGAAAGGCTTCATAAGCTTTATTGAGTTGCTCGCCAATATTTTTATCCATTCCTCTCTGTCCTGTTGCATCACTATAAATGATGGAGTAAATGACAGATCTGGAAAATAATTGAACAATTTACATAGCTATCAAGTAGTATACATCATTTTAAAAATGTGCCTAAAAGACAGTTCTGTATTGTTTATCATGAACATTATGGGATCAAGTACTATAAAGTTTTTAAAAGTATATTTATTTATTTCTTTGGCCGTGTCAGGTCTTAGACGCAGCACATGGGATCTTTCATTGCAGCACAGAGACTCTCTAGTTGTGGCGCCTGGGTTCCCGAGCCACAGGCTTCAGTCACTGCGGTATGTGGGCTTAGCTGCTCGGTGGCGTGTGGGATCTCAGCTCCCCAGTGAGGGACTGAACCCATGAACCCTTCATTGCAAGGTGGATTCTTAACCACTGGATCATCAAGGAAGTCCCCATATAAAACAGCTTTATGAAGGCAAAACAGTCTCATATAAAATCCTGATCATATTTTAATCCTGGAATATTGTGAAACCTTAACTTCTACAATTTTGAAATAGTCTTTATGAATGTTTAAGGAGCAATTAGGGTTCCAGTTCATAAAGATGCTACTTTGCAAATGGTATTCTATAAATGCAAGTTAAAAATGGGAAAATATAAAAGGTCATTTGTTATTAATCTTTTATTATAGAAACACACAACAGGCTTAGCAATGTGAGAAGGGGTTTCTTTTTACTAAATGGACAGTTACTTCCACTTATGAGGTGAATGCTTGCTATACTGAAATTAGAGCAAAATTAAGTAGATAATAAATGTTTGTGGATGGAGTTCACACTGTTATCACATAGCAATTAAAATGTGTGAAAATGCTCTTATTTTAGCACAAAATCTAGGGAAAACTGCCATTGGATTGTACATTAAAAAAGAAAAATCACACCCTATCAGTCTTACCCCTTCTACTTTATATTAGTTTTCTGACTTCTCTGCTATTTCTGAACTACAGGTGATTTCCTCAGCGGAGGTAATTTAGTTTTATCATCTCAATTTGCATTATATCTTGAAAGACACTCCCTGACTCTGAGCAGAGGATATCTATCTAATGACTGATTTTTCTTGTCAAGCTGTAAAAACCACACCATGGAGCCTTTCTCTTAATCCTCTGAAAGCCACAGAATAGACAAAGTTGTCTATCAGTCACATGGGGTTTTGGGGATACCAAATTATTTCACACCCTTTATGATTGGAAATCCTTCATAATATCAGTCTCTTTCATAACATCTTTATCTTTGAGTATACCTGCTTTCCATATTTTACATTAAGATATAATTCATATAAAATAAATTCACCATTTTAAAGTATACACTTCTGTGGTTTTCTGTATTCACAATGCTGTGCAACTATCACCAAAATCTAATCACAGAACATTTTTATCAGCACAGAAACTCTGTACCTGCTAGCAGTTAGTCCCAATTCCCATCTACCCTGTAACCCCCGACAATCACTAATTTGCTTTCTGACCCTATGGATGTGCTTATTCTGAATATTTAGAATCATACAGTATATGCCAGTGTGTCTGGCTTTTTTCACGAAGCATAAAATTTCCAATCTTTAAACACGTTGTAGCATGTAATAGTACTTCATTGCTTTTTATGTCTGAATAATATTCCATTTTTTGGCTATACTACATTTTACTTATCCATTCCTCAACTAATGGATATTTGGGTTGTTTACACTTTTTGGTTATTTTGAATAAAGTTACAATTTGTGCATACATATCTGTGTGAACACATGTTGTCAATTCTCTTAGATATATACCTAGGACCAGAACTGCTGAGTCAGAGGACAGTTACGTTTAACTTTTTGAGGAACTACCACAGACATTACAGTCATTTCCAGAGAAGCTGTATCATTTTATATTTTCACTAGCAATGCCCAAGAGTTCCAATTTCTCCACATTTTCACCAATAATTACTGTCCATTTAAAAATATGTTAGGATCCTATTGGGTGTGAAGTGGTACCTCATCACAGTTTTGATGTTGAGCATCTTTATAGTGCTTATTGGACGTCTGAATATCTTCTTTGGAGAAATGAATAATCAAATTCTTTGCCTACCTTTCATATACATGTGCATATACACATACATATATGTACATGTGTATATGTGTGTGTATGTACATCAAATGTCTAGTCAAATCCTTTGCCCACTTTATATGTGCATGTGTGTATGTGTATACACACACACACACATATGTGCCTATATGTGCATGCTAAGTCATTTCATTCATGTCTGACTCTTTGCAACCCCATGGACTGTAGTCTGCCAAGCTCCTCTATCCATGGAGTTCTCCAGGCAAGAATACTGGAGTGGGTTGCCATGCCCTCCCTTCTCTAGGGGATCATCCCAACCCAGGGATCGAACCTGCATCTCTACATCTCCTGCATTGGAAGCAGGGTTCCTTACCATTAGTGTCACCTGGGAAGGCATATATACACACAGTGTGTATGTGTGTATATACATGTGCATGCATGCTCACTTGTGTCCGACTCTTTGTGACCCCTATGAACTGTAGCCTGCCAGGCTCCCCAGTCACGGAATTTACCAGACAAGAACACAGGAATGGGTTGCTATGTCCTTCATATGTATATGTACATGCATATATATAATTTCCAATATTTTCTTCCATTCTGTAGATTATCTTTTTGTTTGATAGTGTCCTTTGACAAAGTTTTAATTTTGATGAAGTCCAATTTATCTTTTTTCTTTAGTTCTTGTGCTTTTCATATCTAAGAAACCCCTGCCTAATCCAACCAAGATCACACAGATTTTCACCTATATTTTCTTTTAGAAATTTTATAATTTTAGCTTTTACATTTAGACCTTTGATTTGTATTGAGTATCTGTGTAATACAGTATGAGGTAGGGCTCCAGATTCATTCCTCTGTATGTGGCTGGTGAGTTCTCCTGGCATCATTTGTTGAAGAGGCTATTTTCAACTGAAATGCCATTGGCATTTTCCCACTGAATGTCCTTGGCATCCTTGTTGAAAACTAGCTAACCATACATCACAATGCCCTTAAATACCCAGGTAATATTTCAATCCTATCAGCCAGTCTTTAATATACTAAGCACACTCCTACATCATTTTCTAGACTTGGTAAAGCATGATTTTCAAAGATTTTATTATGGGGATCAAACTATGGAAACTCTTCAAGAGATGGGAATACCAGACCATCTTGAGAAACCTGTATGCCGGTCAAGAAGCAACAGTTAGAACCTTGCATGGAACAACTGACTGGTTCAGGATTGAGAAAGGAGTACAACAAGGCTGTTTATTGTTACCTTGTTTATTTAACTTATATACAGAGTACATCATGAGAAATGCTGGGCTAGATGAGTTCCAAGCTGGAATCAAGATTGCTGGGAGAAATATCAACAACCTCAGAAATGCAGATGATACCACTCTAATGGTAGAAAGCAAAGAGGAAATAAAGAACCTCTTAATAAGGGTGAAGGAGGAGAGTGAAAAACCTGGCTTAAGACTCAATATTAAAAAAACTAAGATCATGGAATCCAGCCCCATCACTTCATTGCAAATAGAAGGTGAAAAGGTGAAAGCAGTGACATATTTCATCTCCTTGGGCTCTAAATTTCTGTGGATGGTGACTGCAGCATGAAATTGGAGGACAACTGCTTCTTGGTAGGAAAGCTATGACAAAGCTAGACAGTGTGTTAAAAAGCAAAGACATCACTTTGCTGACAAAGGTCTGTATAGTCAAGGCTATGGTCTTTCCAGTAGTCACAGATGGTTGTGAGCATTGGACAATAAAGAAGGCAGAGTGCTGAAGAACTGACGCTTTCAAATCGATGCTAGAGAAGACTCCTTAGAGTCCCTTGGATAGCAAGGAGATCAAACCAGTCAATTTTAAAGGAAATCAAGCCTGAACATTCATTGGAAGGACTGATGCTGAAGCTGAAGCTCCAATACTTTGGTCACTTGATGTGAACAGCTAACTTATTGGAAAAGACCCTGATGCTAGGAAAGATTGGAGGCAAAAGGAGAAGAGGACGACACAGGATGAGATGTTTGGATGTCATCACCGACTCAATGGACATGAATTCTGGCAAATTCCAGGAGATGGTGATGGAAAGGGAAGCCTGGAGTGCTGCAGTCCATGGGGTCATGAAGAGTTGCGGACACGACTTGGTGACTGAACAACAACAACATTATGGGGATCACAGTGTTTTTACCTTGTGAAGCAATGAAGTGACCGAAGTAAGTGAAGTCGCTCATTTGTGTCCGACTCTTTGAGAACCCATGCACTGCAGCCTAACCAGGCTCCTCAGTCCATGGAATTTTCCAGGCAAGAGTACTGGAGTGGGTAGGCATTTCCTTCTCCAGGGAAGATCCAGGGGATCTTCCTGAACCAGGGATCAAACCCCGGTCTCTGGCATTGCAAGCAGACGCTTTACCATCTGAGCCACTAGGGAAGCCCTGAAGCAATGAAAGTGATACTTTTTTAGGCATTCCAGTTAGGAAGTCTGTTTTCATTGCTACCTCTGATAGATGGAAAAGATGAAACACTGTTAAGATAATTAACATTGCCAGGATCTCTAACATACCATAGACGCTATGGAAACAGAGTAATTAGCATTAGCACAAAGCATCATTTTGAGTATTTATTTAGATACAATTATCATTCAAAAAAAGATTTAGGGTGGCTTTAAAAAGCACATGAGATTAAAAGTAAGTATATGAGCAGGAAAAGAAAAATAAGGGTAGGGAGCTATAGGGAATATAGTATACTATAATACGCTCATACAGAAATTAGACAATTTAAGTAGCTATGTGGCTTGATTGCCTAAAACTGTCTTAACAAACTGCAGATGTCATAATAAACTGTCAATGTAAACCACACTTAAATTTTAAAATCTGGGACAAACAAGAATCTTGAACTGGGAACTCATCTAGTTTCTTGTTTTATTCTGTCACTGACTGACCGTAGGACCTTATTTCAGGGCTACTAAATCTTTTTGGACTCAAGTTTCTCTCCCTTCAAACAAAAAAAGATGTTTGGATTTGATT